CCCCAAAACCCCAAAACCCCAAAACCCCAATTTATTAGATCATAATTGAATTATGAAACTCCAAAATTCTCAAGGATCATCACAAGATCTTCATATAAAATCTTGTGATCAATTTCAGGTTTTACAAGAACTTTTAGGAGTCATTCTATTTCTAATTCTTCCAAATGAGTGATTCCAAGTGCCTGGAAGCTCCCAATGAAGTTCTCAGGAGAAAGTATTTTAATTATTTCTCCATTATACTCTCATTCTTCTAATTTATCTGCATATAGGTCGTCCAACGTGAATTTTCCAATTTTACTTCAGAAAGTCTTTTCAAATACTTGCTCAGCAATATCCAAAATTTGTTGTTCTGTGAGTGATTCAATTTCGAGAGGGAAGTCAATATCGGCTTCACTATCTTGACTGTGGTCTTGGTTTCGAATCCTACCTGTTTGACTATTATTAGAATCTCTTGAGATTATCTCTCCGTTAACGTTACTAACACTCTCGTCCTCCTCAAACTGAAGATCAGGAGTTTTAAGATCGACAGAGGCTATATCTTTTGATTCGAAGTTGTTCTAAATAATCATGCTTAAATCGAACTTGGTCTTTTTGGTTAGGTTTGTGCCTTTCTTGCTAATGAAATTTTCTTCCTTACTATCTTCTCTGATAGAGGAAAGCTCCCTTGTATTATCTTCGACAATTTGAGATTCTTCTTCAAATAACTTTGGATAATCAAGCATATCTACACTGAGATGCTTATCAAACATTAAGAGCACAGAGAATTCGAACAGATCTAAAAGTTACAAGGAGTTCTACCTGGTTCGAGCTGGATATCTAGGTTTTCTAACACTTCTTCATATTGCTTTACTGAGATATATCCAAGAGAATTGATATCTTCAACATCGAATGACTCCTTTAATGCCATTTTTCAAATGCTAAATTCATAATCAAGTTTTTCTTCAAGATAATCTTCCAGTTCAAAGAAGACTTTGTCGGATGAGAGCTTCCTTTCTAGCTCTTCACGGCTAATAATTGGCTGACCGTTGAATCAGAATCAGGCAAAGTCTTGAGTGTAGTTTTTCATAACCTCTTGAACAAGAATCTTGAATTTGGAGAAATTTAAAGATTGTGACCCATCCTTAAATACTATTAAATCCAAGAACTCCTTTATACCTACATTGGAGATCCGGAGCACTCATCTAAATTGGAGGAGTGCAGCAGAAATCTCAGAGAATGGCTTTGCAGCCGGTGGAAGAGTAAGAGTCTTACTCTGATCCATTGATTCCCTGTCAGATCTGGTCTTTGGAACTGAATGAAATGATCCTCCGTGAGGATAACTTGAACCAGTATCAATGATCTTCTTTTGATCCTTTATGGGTGAAACAGATATCTCCAGATCTTCATTAGCTTTAGAGTTTTCTTCATGAGGGTGCGAAATATTGCTCTCTGGTGTAGATTTATTTATTTTATCATTATTTATACCTTTCCAATTCTTTAATCTGGTTCTCAAGATCTCTGATCCTTTTCTTTTGATTTCCAAGTTCTGTCTCTGATTTTTGATTCACTTTTTCCTTCGCTTTTAATTGAGCTTTTAATTGTGCTACTTCTGTTTTTGAAGTCTGCTCTTTAACTTTGATTTCTTTATTTAAGCTTCATGATTGCTCTATCCTTATCCTTGATTAGTTTCTTAACCTTATTTAGATTTGATATGGTATTGTCTTGTTTTTCAATGTTCAGATTCAGTTCATAAATATTTTTCATTAAATTCTCAACCTCATGTTCTTTACTATGAAATGCCTCAACTAGTTGATAATTTTCCTGTTCTAAGGTTTTAAACTAAAATGTTAGCCAAAATCTTACGCTGTCCTCTTTCTGAAGAGACTTCTTGAGTAGATCTCTGAGTCGCGAGCATTCATCAGTCAGAACATTAACTGTTATCATAAGTTCATCAATGTTGGTCTTCTTTATATCCTTTTGGCTATTTTTCAATGTCACTCTTTAATGTTCTGATCAGCTCATCCTTTTCTCTAACTTTGCTTTTAAGAGTGTTCACAATGGATGATTTCATGATCATAGTGGCCTTCTTAGGGTTTTATAGATATATTCTTGGAGATAAGAGTCTGTTCTACTAATTTATTCCGCTTTCCAATCTCATTATCAAGAAATAAGACACGAGTTCGAAGCTTGGTATTTTCATCCTTTAATCGATGGTTATCCACCTTTAAAGTTTCTTTTTGTTCGATTAGAAGTGTAGTTTTGCTGCCTTTTCTCTTAGATCTTGACAAAGTCCTCTTTCGCAATATGGTGTTAGGGCTATTGGAGGTCTGGAATCTTTTATTTCTAAAGTTTGTCCTTGTGAGAGACTGAACCTTGAAATTTTGAGAAGGAAGACTCTCGAGGCTTCTACGGGGGTCACCAAAATTTTGATGAAAGTTTTGGTGTGTTGACAGTAATTTTTGGTTATTTATGTCTAATGGAGGTTTAGATCACGCTAAATTAATAGTTATATCTATCCATAATTAGATAATAAAACTGAAAAATATATATCAACTTACTGCTAGGTTTGTCTTCACTACTCTCATGATAATGTTTGCTGCTATTAATTTCAGAGACTTCTCTGACCTCGTCATCAACTTCGAAATCAAGTTGGTAATCTTGGTCTTCATCCTCCTCAAAATTCATTTTGAAATTTTTATTTATAGAACTGGGGTTTTGGGGTTTTGGGGTTTTGGGG